TTGATGAAAAGAATTATCCTCCTACAGCTAAATACATTGAAGATTTCTCAAATTCAATGCTTAGATATTATAAGGGGTTGAACCCCTAGATTTGCTCTGGCTGGCTGACTCAGCCTAGCCATTGTTTGCACGTGCGCACGTGATCATGCTACGCGAGCTTGCTTAAGCTCGAGTTCTCGTCTCATTCTTTTCTTCCCTTTCTCAAGCAATTCGTCCTTGTTATATAGGAGGACTAGCCTCTAGTTCTTAGAGCTTAACCCTTTACAGATATCAGCATATAGATTCTACTACCTCTTTTTCAAAAGTCAGCAAAATGTAGACTTATAGATTCATTAAACATCTATCTGAGTATAAGAGAGTGAAATAGAAGTCAATGAATTCAAAGAAAGTGACAGTTGAAGATATTGAATATATCAATACATGATTTGAATGTCTTCAGATTTTATTTGAGTTCATATAATATGCAGATCTTCATAAGATAATTCTATATAAATTTCCATTGCATGCTATTTATTTGCTACAATTTTTGAATAATCTATCATTTTAGCAATATAAGCATTATTATTTAAAAGCAGTCAACTATGCTGCATGCCATGATCTTGTTAAGTATGAAAAACAGCAGTATCTACAAGACCTCTCAGCTATATGAAAGCAGACCTTCAAATCTGATACAATAGCTGCAGAATGGGCTTAATGTAGTATATATCCATGGAATTCTGACTGAGTTCTTGACACTTTTAAGCATTGAATCTCATCACCTCTTTCACTGTAGATTTATGAAGATGAAAATAATTCAGATCACATATCTACTTCTTTTTCTCAGATATTCTCATCAAAGATAATTTAAAAGTTAAAATATTATATTAATATTATAGAAAATACTATATAAAGTATTAGAAATACTCTTGATTTGAAATCACTCATCTTGACATGTTATTTGAACAAGATATTCAAAGCAAGTCTAATTTACATAAAATTTAATGAGCAATAGATTACTAAATTAGAGAACTTTCTCAATGTCAACAAACATTGCAGAGCTAAAACAATCTATCATCAGATTCAAGTAGAGGAAGTCTTCACTATTAAAGATGTCAATAGAAAAATCAAGTGATATAAGAATAATGAAGCTGAAAAAGAGCAGAATAAGAAGTGATAAAGACTTGAAGTTGATTCTATGAAAATTGACAATAATCCACTCACACTATTGATAAAAAAGGAATTAAATCAATTTAGAAATGATATACATATTGAGAATAATGTTGATAATTTTTTTTTATTATAGATTAGCTACTGGTTGTTGATATAGAATGCAATAATGAGAATGTGATTCAAGATTTTTATTATTTTAATGTTTTTATCATTTTGATGTGGTGCATCTATACAAGGTATAAGTTGCACAGCGGCACGATTAATAGATTATTAATATCTATTAATGATCTTAGATTTTTCTTTCAAAGATAAAGCTCATTATGATTTATAATTTCTATATTTAAGTTTAATAATTAATCTTTAATCACAGCACATATTCTATACAGCTGAAAAGATAATATCTTGTTTTGAGTTACTAAAGTATTCATTCTAATCTAGAAATCATTTTCTATTTAAGTCTTTTCTAGATATATCTGAAGAATATGACATAGATACTCTCATTTAAATTGAATGATTTGCATTTATTTTCATGATTCTTAGAGTATAATTCATACAACTTTTATCAAATCTAATAGCTGATGGTGAAATTGATGTCTCTTTTTCCTTAGCTCTAATAGAAAATATTTTACAAGCATCTAAAATTCTTTTTAAAGCATTATTTTATAATAATTGAAAATAGTTTATAAAGCTCTTTTGCTCTTTTCACCAAATCTCTACTGCATAATCTAATATAGTGTCATAGCTCAACTAGAGGCATGATGATAAAAAGATAAAAGCTTCAATTCATCTATTTAACTAGGCAGCTGCGACGAGAATACTAAACTGGGGATTAGAATGTGGAATGAACAAATAGCTAAATATATATAGGTGGTTGAGGATTGGAGCGGATCAACCTAAGCAACTGAATATGGTTGGGGATCGGAACGGATTAATCTCTAGGGTGGAGCGAATAAATGAGAGCAACTAAATATCATTGAGGTAAGAACAGATCAACCTTATCCCATATTACCAGCGACTGCGCCGTAACATTACCCCCCGGTTTAAAAAGAGTGCTTGCCCTCAAACAGCTGTGCTATATACAAGAAAAGAGCAAAATATAAAATCCACCAAGCTTATTAGTAGATTGGTCGCCTTAGTTATCATTCACCAGATCCTTATAGATTTCCTTCCATATCTCCCTAACATCTGAGTCATCGTCGTCAGATCCTTATATAGAGGCTGGGATTCATTTGGCAGTTTGACGGTGATAAGGCTTAGGAGAATGTGGACAGAATTGGCAGTTTCAACCCAATGATCATTAGATTCAAGGGCATCAGGTTGAATCTGATTTAGATTTATAGGATCATGGTGAGAAGGGCGATTGAAGCGGATCGATCGAAGCAGGACGACCGAAGCGGAGCGATCAAAGCAAGCAGGGTGATCAACTGAGACTGCTGAGAGGCATGTGGCAAGGATGAATAGAAGAAAGAGCTAGAAGCTAACTGCTGGAACAACGCGCAGGAATTCCTTGTAGGTCCAAAGGAGGTTTAACTGCTGAGCTAGACTGTTGCAAACTGACATACAGCCTGGGCTCTGGTGTCATAGAGAGTGCGTTTAACTTAGCAATATAGTCTGCCAGAGATTCATTCGAGGTCTGGCAGTAGGGTCTTTGGACGGGATTGAGATCAGGAGTTGTTCAGAGCTGCCTGGAACTATTGATTGTGAGGCTCCTGAATAGCACTCCCAAATTCCTGTCAAAGAGCAGCAAGAGAAGCTTCCATGATGAAGAGAAGGACAGTAAAGAAGAACAAAATAAACTCAGATTTGAGCACTCAGCACGGTTGCAATCACTGAGAAGCTCACAAAGACATGGACGTGGACATAGATATAGACATAGACATAGACATAGGGTTTGAGCACTCAGCACGATCGCAACCACTGAGGAGCTCACATGGACATAGACATATAGGCCTGCTACTCGATCTCCAGGGCTTTTGAGAAAGATGAGTTTAGTATTATGTCATGGCTCAGTCTAGAGACATGATGATAATAAGACAAAAGCTCAATTCATCTATCTAACTAGGTAGCTGCAACAAGAATACTAAACTGAGAATTAGAATGTGGGAATGAACGAGCAGTCGAATATAAGTAGGTGGTTGAGGATCAGAGCGGATATGGTTGGGGTCGGAGCGGATCAACCTTAATTCATATTACCAGCCACTGCGCCGTAACAGGAGTGACTGACTGATGTAACTCACTGATAAACTAGTTATATTGTAATTCTTTAATAAAATAAGATATTGATAAATAATCATATATCTAAAAGAACACCTAATTACAAAGAAATAATCAAACCGGCCAACATTTTTTTATTGATTTCACAAATTATATCTGTCCTTTAAAAGGGAGGGAGGGAGAACGGATACTCAACACTTTTCGTTCTGAATACACTCAACAGAAAACTGTATATCACAAATGTAATCAGTTCCCAGATAACCACGCTGATCTGCTGTAATTTAGGATTTGAAATACGAGGTATTTTTATTGCAAGGGCTATCGTAGCAAATGAAAGAGAAGCATCTGCGTAGTAGAGAAAGGTTAGAAAATCCAAATATGAATAGGTCTTCTGGACGCGTATTGTGAGGGTAAACCTACAAATTGCAGCAACTATTTGTGTTTCAACGCCTAGTTGAGATAAAAAGCCAGGGGCAAAATAGCTGATACCACCTTTTCCATCCCCAGTTACGTATGGTACTTTTCTTATGTGGTTGAACATATGTCCACTGGTGAAAAGGAGAATTGCAATCAGACTTATGGCAGTCCACAGGTTTCGACTTTGAATGACAGGCAAAATATACTTTGACAACGCTGTGAAAAGGGTTACGGCACCCAGCAATAATGTCGTCATTGTTGCGATTCGGCCATAGTTTATCGGACGAACGATTGAGGGCTTATGCCCATCTGGTAGGTAGCGGTTCATCCAATTATTAATCTGGTCTGCGGAAAGTGGCCTTATTATCGTAGAGTTAGAAAATGGCTGGAAAATTAGAGTGGGAATGTAATTTCTTACCCGTTGAAATTATATTGGATGGGAGATGCGTCAGCTTTTGCTGCGGGGCCAGCAGTGGGTGGAAAGAGTATCAGAGCGGGTGCAGTTTTAAGCATGAGCTACCAAATGCAATTGTCAATTATTGGAAATAAGTAGATGGTAGGGCATAACGTTTACATACCTTCTGGAAGGTATCCTTCCCCTTTGAGAAATCAAGAGTGCCAAATAGTAATTTGGGAGTATCCTGCCTGGCTCCCTTAATCCAGCTCCGAGCGAGAAGCTCCCACTCCGGCTGAATTTCACGGCAAAGCTGACACCCATACCTCATGTCTCCAGCAGTTAGAAGTACAGCGACATGGTAATCGCGTGGGTTCGAGGTCAAATCATTATAAGTCGAATCATTAAGCACAATTGGTTTGACCGATTTTGCCCGATTTTGGTAGGTTTTGTATCGGTCGGTAGTAGATTTGGCAGCAGATAAAGATATTATCAAGGAAAAAAAGGTCGCAAATATTGGCAATATCCTCATGTTGACTCCTTTTATTCTTCACCCTCTTCGTCGTTTAGAGAGAAACTCGCAAAGTTGGTCGCAAAGTTTGGTTAGAAACTGCTCAACTGAGGTTGAAGTTACATCGACTTAAGTGTCTCTTTATTGCTTGTTCGGGTTAAAACCGGATCTCGGATCACGGTAAAACTAATGTCCGGGATTTGTTTACTCTCCCTGCTCAGCATTCTTAAAGGAACTTCCAATACTTAATATACTAACCCCAAACATCGCGCTCATACCACCTATACGCAACTGAAGGATAAAGACTCAACGCTGATGTCATTGTCCAAGCAAAATAATTCATCAGCTCGACATGAGGTGGGCCAGTTCCGCGGTATCTTCTATCGTCTTCTCTTGCTTACAAAGACCTTTTTATTAGTCGCTCCCAATTCGCACTTCGCAGCTTGAGACAGAATATGAAAAAGCTCTTTGGCAGACCGAATTAATAGTTGGGAGTGAGCAAAACCGGATCCTACACGTTTATTTCTTGCTCGCGAATCATGATAGAGATTTCCTTTATTCTGAACTGGAGGAAACGAAAGGCCATCTGGAGAGAGCAGAGAAAATTGGCTGCGAAGCGCAGGAGCAGTTGAGTCAAATTCAGAATGATGTTGACTACCTTCGAAATTCGCTCCAGGTCCGGTTACGAGAAATCGATGATTTAAAGGGAAGCATTCAGAACATCTACTTTGATATTAAAGCTAATATCCAGTAGTCGAACATACAGGAACTCAAAGCCACGTCGGCCGACTCAGCCAAACTACTAGCCGAAAAGCGTTCAATGTTGCGAGAATTATCGAATTTAAATCACGAAATCGAGCGCCTAAAATCCCAAAACTTGTCTCATCAAAGTTTGGTTTCGGAGAAATTGTTGCTTCAACGACAGCTGAGCTCGCTAGAAGTTGAGCTTCAAAGTGAAAAACGTGCTTTGGAAAAGGTACGACTGAAAGGGTTGAAACAGAGCGAAGAGGATAACAAAAAAAGTATCCGGCTGGAGGAATTAACTAAGGAGATCGCTAGAGAGCGGCGGGAGCGGGAAAAAATTGAAAAAGACATGAAAGCTGAAGCTGTTGAGTGGACTCGCCAACGAGCGGTGTTCGAAAACAAGTTAACTACACTCCGAAATAGGTTGCGTGAATCAGAGAATGCACTAAGGCAATTTAAAGACAAGAGCAACTTAGATGACACTCCGCTACTGGAGGATGCTGGAACATCTCATAGAGAAAATGACCAGAGACGCAAGCGGAGCGCTTCTAAGTATGAGCCAGACATAACAATCGACACACCCAGAGCAGCTGCGCATCCTCAGAAAATTACCAGAGTTCCGACGATACCTGGCGAAAAATCAACGTTCTCCACAACACCATTTTTGAACAGAACTAGCACAACAGCAGAATCTTCGGACACGTCCAAGAGCGATGCTGATGAGAAGCCCGCCTGTAGGCTGCCCAAACGGATCGAAAACGATATCGATATGCATGACCCTCCAAAGTCTCTCAAATCTTTCAATCCGAAGGCCGCGAAGACAACGAACCGCAGACGTCCAACAAAGCCACAAGAAGAATGCGCTAAGGTAGTTTCAGATGATGACGGTGCAGTTGATCAACCGGGACAATCACAGGTTGACTCTTCAATCTTGACGACGCATAGAGTGGCTGGAAGGAAACGGATATTACTTCCAAAGAAACCTGAAAGAACGCTGTTTGATGATGACGACGGCTTTGAAGATTCCAACAAGGAGAGACGGCGTGTTCCGGGAGGGTTCCGAGCTCTCGGGGGAGGTCAGTTTGGGTTAGGTCGACGGCTTGGGAGTATAAGAGGATTGGGTGCTTATACAGGGATCTCTCCTTTGCGGCAGAATATTCGCGCTGCAAAAGATTAAATACGTTGCGTATATGTGCTATTTACTTTCTAATGTCCTTGACACATACCCTTAGCCACGTCTGCTTGAACTATTCCAACCTGAAGAAGCTTGTTAGCATCCATTTTATCCGACTAGAATGATCGTTTCGCGATTTCCTAGAGAACACAAATACAATCTTTCTCTTTAATAGCCAAAGAGCGGGCTTGTTGTTCAAGGTCCCACACATACTAAATTATTGGTGTAACCGATATATTAGACTGATTCTTATGTCCGCAGGCTCAACCGCAGGTCTGGATGCTTTTGCCTCACGTGATATCATGACTGCGACCTTCGAAAGTGAGATCGGTCTTACATTTATCATTGTCAATTTGAACGAACGCGGGTACTGCAAACATTGAAACGAGAGCAATTCAACCAATACTAGGTAACCTGTATCTGATATAACCTAAGTCCCTATGAAACTGTGCGGTGTCCGCACACTCTACCGTGCATGGTTGCCAACTGGCGAAAATCTGTGGGTCCAACCTAACCAAATATATGAGTTATCTATACGGCATTCCTCTTCGAAGAGATGGCAGGCCCGGCAGGCCAAGGATAGATATTCGAGAGAAGCAATAGTAAAGGGATTGAAAAGCCGTGCTGCGTTTAAGCTCCTCCAGGTTTCTAACCCTTTTAATGTTATCGTTCTTGGAAGTCGGACTGACTAACAAAGAACCTTAATAGATCAATGACAAACATAAAATATTCAAACTGGGGCAGAGTGTCGTGGATCTGGTATGAATCAAAGTACCCCCTTTTACAACACGCTTGCATATTAACAGTGACGCAAGGGTTATGCCCCTGGGTCTTGGTCACAGGTACGTTATCCTTGCCCCTTCTCTCTTTCAAGCTTGAAATACTACTAATTATCTTCTTCTAGGTCGCTGTCGAGCTCACACAACCCAACGGACGTGTGGTAGGGGTAGATATTATTCCTGCTCAGCCCCCGAAAGGTGTCTCCACAATCCAAGGAAACTTCCTTTCACCGCAGGTGCAAGCTTACGTGCAAGAATTCCTTCGGAATCCTAATCGGGGAAGAGTGCAACGTCTCAATCACTTCGAAAACACCGATCCTGATTCCCAATCAATAACCGGTTACCAGATCGAGGAAAGCGAGGGTTATATTGATCGAGAACGGAGTGCAAGCTCGCACATAACCCAGGTTGGCGGGGACGCGGAACATGTCTCCGATACTGCAATGGGAGATAAGACGGTTGATGTGGTTCTAAGCGACATGTCTGCCCCCTGGGATCAAACAACTGGTTTCTGGAAGAAAAGCCTTAGTGACCCATATCATAGGATGATGAACACGAGCGGAATGAGTTTTCGAGATCACGCCGGGAGCATGGTATGATTTAGACACCCTACCGCTGAAATTCCTTTCCCCTTTTGTTGTATTTTAATTATTAATTTAGAAACAGGATCTCTGTAGGGCGGCACTGGAATTCAGTTTCAACGTCCTGAAAACAGGAGGCCATTTCGTTTGCAAGTTTTATCAAGGCGCAGAAGATAAAGCACTCGAAAGGCAGTTGAAAGAACTTTTTCAGACTGTCCATCGAGAAAAGCCCGAATCTTCTCGCAGCGTATGTTTTCAGAATACTTTATAATCTTTGGTTGCTCTCTGACAAGATTTTCTATCAGGAATCAAAGGAAGCATATTTTATTGGTCTAAGGCGGAAACATAACGCTGTTAGAGACGCCGTTCTCCCCCATAACTAGGATCTCCCTTCAATTGTACCCGAGTTTACTCTTAATATCTGGCCACTTATCGGAGATGATCATGAACAGAATTTGCATGGTCGTTTCATTTCTAATATCCTATATTATCTCCCCATCACCTTCTTCAAAATCGCTCTCGTCGAAGTCGATTGAAGCCGAGGCTTCTTCTGCTGCACGTTGGATCTATGGAATTTAGTTACGATTCTGATGTGCCTCCTGAACTGAAAACTTACCTCCTTAAGCCCGCTTAGCTCTTCAACATAGCCACTTTCATTCACGGCTTTTTTGACGAATTCCCACTCATGTTGCCTGTACGCGTTAATTATATTACCTGAACAAGCACTGCAGCAATTATAGCTCTTCCCTGATACGACCACGTTAGAAAAATTAGACAGGAATCCCCTAATTTGGTGAGGTATGATCCCAAGAGGATGATAAGAGGGGTTCTCGTTAGAGGAAGAGGATGCAGGAGCAGCTGGTCCGTTTGGATGCTGCAATACAGAGACAAATAATTCAACCAACAAGGCTGATGCGATCGCAGCGATACCAGGACGTGTCACTGTACACTGTTGGTCCAGCGTCTGATCCTTGATAGACTTATAGATGAATTAGCACACACACTCCCTCTACGAGGCTAAGGTTGACGACCTACATCAGCGGGAGCCACAACGTCATTGCAAAAGTAGCATCCCAGTTCAGTTTCCGGTGCCTCACTGTTTTCGACGCCGTGACGCATTACAACGTATGTGTCAAAACCTAGCGCTGCATTCATCACTATTTTCCCCGTCGCTTTTCCCATAACCGTCGGTAACCAACGAGATTCTCGAGTATCCAATAGCACGAATATTGCGTCGTGCTCGTGAATGAGCCTCCGAAGTTCCTCGAATTCACGTTCTGCTTTCGAAGCGTCTGTTATCGGATGGCCTGGCATCGGCACTGACAGCACATGACCGGAAGCATCAACACCTGGGTAAATTTCCGCAAGCGCGGCGGCAGCACGATGCGCTTTCTTGGCGCCTCCTTCCAGGCAATCCTTAAATTCGAAAAGAGGTTGTCTCACTGGGTTGGAGAAAGACACGGTTCCGTTGTCTACAAATGTGATCTTTCGAACACCCCATCCCTATGGTTTTTGGATTAATCTTTGATATAGACCCAATAAATTTAGTCATACTCACAAGCAAATTCCGCGCAACGTAGCTTCCAAGAGTTCCTGCACCTAGCAAAAGGCACTTTGTATTCTTTATCTTCTTGAGGTTGAGGTTGGGGCTGATCCTCCACTTCATAAGTTTCAAATTTAGATCGACGGATTGATCAGCCAATCTATTACATGTATTAGCAGCGGTGTATGTGAGTGCTCCAATAACAATATAAAAGCTTCAAACCAACCTTTTCGGGTCCATGTATTCTGTGAGATCAATGATTCGTCCAGTAAGTTTGCCTGCGGCGTTTCGCTCCCACCCGGTGACTTTAGGCATAGTGCTCTCAGATCCAAGCTGGGTTTCCTCATGTTCAGTTTGGGCAGCATCTGATCTCAATTTTATGACGATACTTCTACCTTGATCCCTTTTTGATTGAACATCACGATATCTGAGAATTTGGACTTGACCAAGCTTCCAGCGCTGGCGTACCAGAACCAACAAATTCCTTAACATCCAACCTGGCGCGTCCGGGTAGTTCGAGGGATCAGCGAAACAAACAAAGCAATCCTCAGCCAAAACATTGCGGAAAAATCCTGTTTCGAAACCTGAAAGGGATGAAATTTCCCATGAAAACCCAACTTCTTTAGCAATTGGAGAAAGTGGCTTTTGATTTGTTCCAAGTTCTCTGCCAGAACGAGTGTCGCTTGGGAGATCGTTGTCAGGATGTCTATACTTCCGAGCAAGAAAGAAGCCGTGTTGACGGGCATCCACCCCGTATCGCCATGTTTGAACAGCGTCAACTAGGGTGGAACTTTCGTTGCCTGCCAAATGTTTAGGTTCTGCAACAGGGTTCCACGCTGAATGGATTGCTGGGAAAGCAAACCAATACAGAAATTTGTATTTCTTTAAATCTGCGAAGGAAAGCACAACAAATGAGACTAGCAACGATGGGCAAGAATAAATCGTTCCATCATTAATAGCATCCCAGATCTATCCCGGATATAGACAGTCAGCAACAAAGGAGGATGCTTTAGATGCTGTGAGTCCGGAAGGGGTTGCATACCGTCTTCCCCGTTTGTAGTAAAAGAGCATTCTTGTCTGTATTGCGGTATTCTTCAATGGTGTTAACATTTTTTATCATCCCTTCTCCTCTATAGAGCCCCGCGGGCACCCTGCAAAATCATGAGTATGAGTTTACATACTCCGTAGTTGATAAACGTTAGCCAGAAATGCTCCAACTTACTCATCTCGGGTCAATGCGGTCCCATGGATTTGCATGCGACAAGAAGACTCCGGAGGATCGGTAGATTTGATCTCGTAAAGACCTAGAAGCTTACGAGCGGAGTCATCAAGTTTGTCATGGTTTATTTTCAACGAGGCCAGGGATGTGTAGAAGGGAAGCTCTATATTAGAGATGAATGGTGAATACTGCATGTTGGCGACAGATTGTAGTTGAAGGTTGATGGAATGGAGATTTCGCTTATGATAAATAAGCAGCCAAGGATTGTTCGATTCCCAATCTCAGTTCTCGGCAGGTGATCGATAGTGGCCTCATGGGAATATCAGCTGATGGATGGTTGAGAAACAGAGCAGTGATCCCATAACAGAATTACTTTCCATAACGTATACGTACTGTGCATAGATCTCCATATGGATTGTCAGACGATTCAAACTGAAGTATGGAACTCCGCAAACAAGAGAATCATATAAAGCCAATAAATCTGGCTGGTAAGGCTCTCACCAGAAGGTTGTGGGTTGTTTAAAACCCCAGAAGCTGCAAATGCCCCCGGAACGCAGCAAGCCTCCCTGATAAGTAGTTACTGTAATTAACTTTTGCTGCATTTGCGGAGTAACTAAGTTACGTCACGCCCGGAATCCCACCCAACAACACACCGCCGGGGGTTAGTCAGTTCTGTCGGTACGTACTGCAATGTATATATACAGTACAAGTACCGTACGTTCTTCCCTTGAAGTTACAGATGTTTGTTTGGCTCGCGAGCTTTCTCCCGCAGTCACCTGACCCGTTTACACTTCAAGCAACTTGGTCCCCAAAGAAACCCATCCTGGAATGTGTTTTGGCAGGGAGGGACAGCTGTTGAAGTTTTTTCATCAGTCTACATCAATGATATAAAGTATTCGTTTCCTAACTAAAGCTGGGGGACCCCTGTGCATCTAAGTGTCTCCTTGATAAACACTATTTTGAGAACTATTTCTTCCTCACGTTAGATTCCATGAACAAACCAACCTTGGAAGAGTAGTTTCTTAAGCATAGGTATATATATTCACCCAATTTTCTACTCAGGGATTATCCTGTTGGTCTGTGACAATGCTGCTTGGTCTATGTGGAGGTCTGTTGCCAGAATCCTGTTATTTATACATCTTGTTTTCACGCAGAGCAGAGGAAGACTGATGTAGCAGTTAGGAATATGTTCCGGAAAACACTCTGTTTCTGAATACTTGATCCAGAAGCATGGATTCCGGCAACTGCAGCTCGCCCGTAAACCTGATCTTCTGGATGAAAAGGAACTTGCCCTATCCTTCGGAAATCATTCGGTTAAAAGCGGATCTCAGATGTTTCAGACGGTCGACGAGCTTCTCAGTTTCGTGACTAAAAATTGGCGGGAACGATGGGTTACTACCGATATCTGGGATGAGACAACTTTGGAGAGGCTCCTGATGAGACCATATTTTCTTCTGGTCAGCATCGATGCCCCGGTTAGCCTCCGTTGGAGCCGCTTCACTGAACGGTACTCCAGATCCACCATTCCTTGCATAATACACCCGTCAATGCTAACAACATCAGGTCTTGGCGTCGACAATTGGATCCCCCTGATCTGGAAAAGTTCGTCCTCTGGAACGACAAGCACCTGTACGACAGGGATATTGGCATAGTTTACATGACACACCGTGCCCAAGTTCGATTGTTTAACTCGTCGTCTTCATTGCATGAATTGCATGCAGCCCTGGATGAACTAGATTTAGTTAGTGAACATCGCCTGCGCCCTGGCTGGGATCAATATTTTATGCAGCTTGCTTCCCTAGCAGCTCAAAGGAGTAACTGCATGAAGCGACGAGTAGGATGCGTCATCGTCCGAGAAAAACGAGTCATCAGTACGGGATATAATGGAACTCCTCGAAATACAAAAAACTGCAACGAAGGCGGATGTAAGATTTGCTCTGATTTAGAAGCCATATTGAGTCCCTGCTAATCACTAACAGGTCCTCGTTGCAACTGCGGCGAAGGTGGTGGTGCGGCGCTGTCTACCTGTCTTTGCATCCACGCAGAAGAAAATGCCCTATTGGAAGCAGGGCGTGAGAGAATAGGCGAAGCGGCCATTCTATATTGCAATACGTTAGTTCCCCCAAGTTTTATCTCTACATACACGAGAAGAGGACTCTGACTCTCTTTCCTACAGTTGCCCTTGCCTGACGTGTAGTGTGAAAATTGCGCAGCTCGGTATCTCTGAAGTGGTCTACTCTCAAAGCTATAACATGGATAAAGAAGTTTGTATCCATTCCCTTTAGCATACCTGTGCAATGAGTGACTAACGCATCTCAGACCGCATCAATTTTGGAGGAAGCTGGAGTGAAACTTCGACAATTTTCTCCTGTACGTCATGTCTCCCCTGAAGTCAAACTTTCTATATCTTCTAACAAAATCCCTAGCCACGAAATGGGTTAATTTACCTTCAAAGGTCAGACATCACTACCTCTGATCATGAGGTGTTGAATTCTGAGCCTATTATATGATAGTGGTGAACTTGTTGGTTTGATTTGTTCCTTTCAGCTCAGTTTCAGGAGTTTCTCTCACAATCATTCAGTGCCTTGAATATATCAAACTTAGATCGCAGAATATACTATTATACCTTTCTCCATTCGACAAACGATACCTAGTACGTACTTAGGCTAAGTTCGGCGGGAGATACTAGTGAAAAGCTTGGAGTAGAATAAATTACAGGTCGTAATCTTAAAACACACAATTATTGGTTGGTCATGTGTTAACTGACTAAAACTAGCTAGGTGATCGTTTTTAAGTTTCTCCACGTCTGACTCATCCGTGACCTCACGGTAAATTTCAAGGATGTTTACGCCGATTATATGCTTTGGAATCTCTTGACAAACACCCACCAAGCCAACTCCCTAGTAGTGCCATGCGGTTTTTTTTAAGAAAATTTTCTTAAATTTTATATATTTTTATTTTCCCATACACAATGCCTGTTGTTCATCTGCTGGATTATGTAGCGGGAAATATTCGATCCCTCGTTAACGCCATTGAGAAGGTTGGTTATCAAGTTGAATGGGTGAAGTCTCCAGATGACGTGCAGAATGCGGAGGTCAGTAAAGTAATCCTTAGGCTGAGGAGGAGGTCTCTCTAACATGGGCTCTTTTTAAGAAACTTATTTTGCCTGGTGTTGGCCACTTTGGGTACTGTTTAACCCAACTCTCAAAGGGGGGATTTCTTGGGCCAATAAGAAACCATATAGCTTCTGGAAAGCCATTTATGGGCATCTGCGTTGGCTTGCAGGTTCTCTGCGAAGGCTCTGCAGAGGATCCAACAGAATCGGGTTTGGGGTTAATACCTGTCCGTCTAGCGAGGTTTGACTCTACCGGTAAGAGTGTCCCGCACATCGGATGGAACTCAGCCAAATGTCCCAGCAAAAGTCCAGAGAAATATACCAGTTTCTATGGGCTTCATCCACAAAGCAAATACTACTATGTTCATTCATATGCGGCTCCCTACAATGAAAAGGTGCTTGCGGACCAAGGATGGGCAGTTGCAACCGCAACGTATGGGGATGAAACATTTATTGGTGCCATCGGCCGTGATAACATTTTTGCGACGCAATTTCATCCTGAGAAAAGCGGCAAAGCCGGCCTCCGCACGCTTGAGGCTTTCCTGAATGGGAAAAGTATCCAAAGTTTGGACGCCCCTTCAAATTCTACACTTGTTAGTGGTCTGACAAGGCGAGTCATTGCATGTTTGGATGTCCGCGCCAATGACAATGGGGACCTAGTAGTAACGAAGGGCGATCAATATGACGTCCGGGAGAAGAGCGGGTATGAGAGTGGAGGGCAAGTCAGAAATTTAGGGAAACCTGTTGAGATGGCGAAACGTTATTATGAACAAGGCGCGGACGAGATTACTTTCTTGAATATTACTTCTTTCCGAAATTGCCCTGTGGCAGATGTTCCAATGCTGGAAATTCTTCGGCGAACGTCAGAAACCGTTTTCGTACCCCTGACAATCGGAGGCGGCATTAGGGATACTGTGGACACCGATGGCACTAAAATTTCAGCGTTGGACATCGCGACGATGTACTTCAAGTCTGGGGCTGATAAGGTCAGCATTGGATCAGATGCAGTTACCGCTGCTGAGCTCTACTATGAAAACAACTGCACACTCAGCGGTGGCACCGCAATCGAGACCATATCGAAGGCCTACGGCAATCAAGCGGTTGTTGTCAGTGTCGATCCTAAAAGGATTTATGTTAGTAAGGCGGAAGATACAACCCATCGGACAATTCGAACCCAATATCCGAATGAGGCCGGCCAAGAATATTGCTGGTATCAATGTACCATTAAAGGAGGCAGGGAAGCCCGGGATGTGGATGTTTACCAGCTTATTAATGCAGTAGAGGCCATGGGGGCAGGAGAAATCCTTCTTAACTGCATTGATAAGGATGGGAGCAATAGCGGGTTTGATATCGAGCTCATCAATGATGTGAAATCTTTTACAACCATTCCGGTTATTGCATCGAGCGGTGCGGGTAGCCCCAGTCACTTCGAGGAAGTTTTTAGGAAAACCACTACCGACGCAGCTTTGGGAGCTGGCATGGTTAGTATATCATTCTGAAATTGCATTCTATATATATATATATATATATATATATACTAACGTGTTCTACCAGTTCCACCGAAATGAGTACACTGTGAAAGACGTTAAGGAATACTTGACATCTAAAGGGCTTCTCGTCCGTGAGAATGAATAATAAACTCAGGTGAGATGGACCACGAAAAGGATGTTCACTGTGACTGCGGCTTGGCGGATCTAGGGAATTATCGAATCTTATACTACCTTCTGCGTATCTACGCATGAAGCTGTTCAAGATTTGATTCAGGTTGTTCAATAGATCCAATAGAAACACTCTTGCTGCAAGCCAAAACTGCAGGGAAATTCAATTGGGATTGAAATAGTTATAACGAGTAGTTAATTAGCATGCCATACACGGGCTCACGGAAACAGAACCCAGGTACACCCATAGCCATAGCCCAACATGATACAGGGCAGGGTTGATCAATAGCGATCTGAAGGGGATCAACCTTAGATAACCTATGGGTAGCCTAGTTTGGCATCAATCCATTCAATAAGGTTTAGTCGTGTGGAAACCCAAGTTTATGTCTGTACTGTCTGTACTGTATGTACTGTACAATACGTAAGACATCCATACTCTAAAAGGAAAGGTTCTGATTCAAAAGACTCAAAAGCCTGCTGCTGACTCACCGATGCGGCTGAGCCCTTGGTTTCCCTGGAAGTTCGCCTCTTTGCTGATTAATACTGTTAAAATCCTTCCAACCTCAACTCCCTTCGCAAACTCTCAAAACTCCCAACTCTCCCCCCCTTCTTCATCAACAACAACAGCTCCATCCAGTCGTCTTCATCTTCATCTCCATACTCCTTCGTCGTGTTTTGAGAGTGCCGTCCTGTCCCGGGTCAACGTCCCTATTTGAAGTCAAATTCTATCTGCTAGCGATTGGGTGTCGTCGCTCGACGGTTAAATGTACAGTAGTCCCGCCGGTCGTTGACATAACAGTGTTCATTTGCCTCTCGAATAGACACACCACCTTTCCTTGTCATTATTTGATATCCCGAATCGCCGTGTTGCTTTTTCATTGCATCAAGAATCTCAAGTTATTCTCGAGGGCATTTTGGTAAGGAGACAGAAAACATCGGTTGGTTAAAATAGGTGTTGGGAACCGGCTGGCTTCAAGTTTATACTTGTTATTGTGTTGCTAGGTTGTGAAAGACAATTGAAAACTTCTTATTGTCCTTCCCCTTTACTTCGCAGAACCCGAATACAATTTATGTACAGACCCGCTGCTTAATTTTCTTCCTTGGGGGTATATCAGTCCACCTTCACTAGCCTACTTGTCTCTCTTTAATCGCAAGGCAGTCCCATCCAGTTATCGATACAACAATAACCCAGTTGAGGGTATTCCTAATCTCGTTCTGGCATTCAAAAAATTACCTCTCTGTCCTTGCTCAATATATCGATCGTCAAAACTTCTAAAAAAAAAAAAAAATCAAATCAAAAACCCGTCTGTGGTAGTTGGCAAGGTTGAGACGACTCGGAACATTGCAGTATTTTCTATCTTTGTTTAGACACATCCTACCTGATCGCAGTTCCCAAATCCAAATTATTGTCAATTGTTAACTCCTCCCATCAATTATCATGACTTCTTCTGTTCATTTCAAGTTCAAATCTCAGAAGGAGCCCTCGAGGGTAACGTTTGATGGTACGGGTATATCGGTTTTTGAGCTGAAAAGAGAAATCATCAATCAAAATCGACTAGGCGACGGAAGTGATTTTGAGCTTGCGATATATAATGAAGATACTAACGAAGGTAAGTCCCAGCTGTTTATCCAGGCTGGAAGTAGGACCTTGGAGACCTGACTTTGTTCGCATAGAGTATGACGATGATACCACCATTATCCCACGATCCACATCTGTCATCGCCCGCAGACTTCCTGCTGCCAGACCTGGCAAGGGCGGTGCTGCACGTTATGTCTCCGGTAAGATGCCAGTGAACGCTCGTAGCTCATCTAGGATTGAGCCCCCTGCCGCTGGCCGAACGATAGGTGGTGGAGGTGCGGTTATAAACAATATTTCCGATTTGAATAGCGCACAGTCCGAAGATGAGAAGATCAAAGCATTATTTAGTTTGCAAGAAACTCAGTGGAAGGAACAGCAAAACGAAATGGCCAAGTAAGATGAGCGATATTCCATCCTATATCGTAGTCACCCATTATATACTGTGTTGCTAACGGAAATCCGTTTAGTGCCACTCCAGTCCCGTTTCATCGGGGAAGGGGAAAACCTGTTAATATTCCTGACCATCCGCCCCCACCAGGCTACCTATGCTACCGTTGCCGAGAGAAAGGTATGTCTCTATAAGCCCACACAGGATATTTTTATAAATTTAACAAGCTTCTAGGGCATTGGATCCAGGCATGTCCTACTAACAATGACCCAAAATTCGACGGCCGTTATCGAGTTAAGCGATCGACGGGAATACCCCGCTCTCTCCAGAAACAGGTTGAAAAGCCCGATTCCCTGGCATTAGATGGTTCAAACGAAGATTCAAAACTTTCCGGGGTCATGGTAAACGCTGATGGTGATTTTGTGGTTGCCCAACCAGACAAGGCGTCGTGGGAACTGTACCAGGAAAAGGCCAAAGCTTCTGCAGCAGCCGCAGCTGAATTTGCGGCGGCTGAGGGGAGCAAAGAGATACAAGCGCGTGGTCTACAGTGTCCAATTGATAAACGCTTACTACTAGAGCCAACGAAAACTCCATGCTGCAGCAAGACATATTGCAACGATTGTATCACAAATGCATTGATCGAAAGTGATTTCGTTTGCCCCAATTGCTCCACTGAAGGCGTATTACTAGACAATTTAGCAGTGGACGAAGAGGCTATTACTAAGCTAAAGGATTATGAAAAAGAAAAATCAGAGAAAAGGGATAAAGAAAAAGAAGAAGGATCAGTTAGTGAGGAAAGTACCAGATCCCCTCGACCAAAAGTGGCTTCGGAATCCGCCAACCACAAACCCACCTCTGCATTGTCTCCAGAAACTCTGACGCAACCCAATTCAACATATCCAAAGAAGCGGCCCGCAGGTGAAGGTGACGAAAACAATAATGAGGAACCAATCGCTGCACCAGCAATGAAAAAGCAAAAATCGAACGATAGCCAGTCCCAGGTTAACAATCAACATAACTCAAGATTTAAACCCATGAACAGATTCTCCCCAACCCCATTCAATCAGCAACTATCGTCCGGAAATTTTAACTCACCATCACCTCAAAATTTCCCGTTTATGGGGTTCCCTCCAAATAATATCATGTCAATGACTGGGTTTGTTGGGGGTGTAAACCATTCTCCTATGTCTAACGGATATCCGCATGGCGAAAGTGGATGGAATCAAATGGCTAACAACAATATGAGTTTCGGGCCACCAAACCTTTCCTATATGACTGGATTCAACCAAACAATGATGCCAGTTGGCGGATATGGGCCCCCCAATTTCGGCCCTGCTGCGGGTGGGATGCCGATGAATATGAATTTCATGAGCCAACAACTTAGTCATTTGCCGCAAAGACCACCTTTCCAGCAAAATCCAGGAATCACCACCTTCTCGAACCAACAGCGAACCAGTTTCGGTAGACCATTCGCGAAGGAGGAAGACAATGCATACTTACGCCAGCCCGTAAACCCTCATCGGCATCAGGCGAGGCAAAAACGAATTAGGCCTAGTGACTATCGGGAACTGTAGGTGTAACGCTAGGGAATGGATATCTTATCTCAGCATGACAATTTATAATCACATCATTGTACAGTACTTGTTTCGGAATATCTTGATATTTTCAGCATGGAGTTCATCGGCGGTGAGTGCTCAGCCAGTGATGGTAGAGGAAAATGTGGATACAGTATATTTTAACAGCATTTCTGATAATTGTCAAAGAGTTGATTTGAAGTTTATTGTGCTCTTCCCGCAATTGTCATCAACTACCTTTATAATTAGGCCATTACTTACAGTCTTCAATCATGACTAACGATGGATCAGAAACCGTATAGAGGTTGAATAGTAATGTCAAACGCATATGTAGTTAAAACGATAAATATCATAATTCCTGCCAATCCATTTTATCAGTAGGAACAAAAACTTGATCGAATTGAATTCATTTCTGTATTAGTGTCTTCCCTCGCAACCCGGTGCACAAGTTTTAATAACCCAAGACATCATCATGAAGGGAAGGGCTGGGAATGAATAATAAGCAACTCAACCGTTAACGTCAACGTGAAAATTATATGGCAGTGATACGAGAATAATACGGGCGTATCCATGGATGGGATGTTGACCATTCAAATTCCTAACTACGAGATAATGTATTAAATATTAACCCTCCTGCTCCCTTCCTTCCAACTTATCAGCCAAAACTTTAGCATCCCGCTTCCCTCGGTCTACGTCGACAAGCAACATGAGTGGTAATGGGACCAAAATGACGACGGCCAAAAATCCAAATGCAGGACGAATCTCTCCGTATGCATCTGTAATCATTCCGACGATCGCGGGACCAAAAATACTCGACCCCTTATCGGTGATGGCATACAATGAGTAGAAGGATGCCTCGAACCCTGGTGGTATTAACTCGCCAAAAAAGCTTCGACAATAGGATGACAATCCTCCCATTACAACGCCATAAAACGCCCCTAGCATGTACATTTCCCAAGGTTGCTGAAGCCCAAAGACTCCCAGCTTTTTAATTGATGGGATGAATCCGAGAAGTCCGTAAAAAGGTATGAGCTCAAAAACGCAAATACAGGCGATGATAGTTTGCGAAGCTTGCAAGTTCAACCGACGAGACAGATAGTTCCAAAAAAACGCACCACACACTCCGGAAACCATTGCTATTACGTTGATTAGTCCAAGGGCGGCAAGCTTCATACCCAGCTGGGTTTTGGCAAATAACACAGCAGTGCCGCTCACCGTGGCAATACCATCGGAAAGGAGAAACCACGCAGCTAAAAAGATAAGCACATCTTTGAGATGACGGACTTGAAGAGCTGTGCGACCGAGAGACTGCCATGCATACACAATATAATTTACCCACTGCCACGTATGGGCTCCTCGAACCGAGCTGGAAAGCGGGGGTCCGGGGCGTGGACGGAGCCACATAGCTGCAGGTATCGTAAAGAGTAACCACCACAGCCCAATTCCGAAGAGAACGAGCCGTAGGGAGAATGTTGTTGAGCCCGTGACGGCCACGACAAAGATGGATATAATTTGGAGAATAACAGCCCCAATATAACCAATGCCAATCCCGTAGGAAGATATCCTCGTCGATAACTGGAGCTCCGCCGACGTTTGGGGAGATTTTAATAAAGAGTCGTGTGTAGACAGATTAGGGTTGTTCTGAAGTAGAGCCGATGTGACTGACGACAGACTACTAGACCGGCGTCTCTGGCTAGATCTAAGCTGCTGAGGTGCAGCAGCGGATTGTCCATCATCGTGCGTAGGGTCAGCCGGAGTCGATTGAATGGAAGGATGATGACGAACAAGCAAAGGTAGAAATGAATTGAGTAATACAAAAGAGGCGCCAAAGCAGGTATTCGCTACAATTGCTAATAAAGCGCCAAGGAGATAAACCTGCGGAACAACTGCCAGGAAGAGCATGGTTGAGACCGCACCGACGACAGCGAAGACCAAGAGATATGTCTTTCGGTAGACTCCATGATCCGCCGCTCCAGACATGGAGATGATTAATAGTGACTGGACTAAGACACTGACTGAGAATGTGTACATCGCAAAGCTGGCTGTGTTTATTTGAAACCCTAAGATATATACTACACACTGCGTAGTCTCGGGAGAGTGTGGGCTGCTCGGAGAAGACAAGGCCAGACTAGGTACAACAGGAGTCGTTCTCCAGGTCGCACTGCATGGTGTCGCTTTATTTGAAAGAAGGACTCCTCGATCCCTTGCCATCTGCTCGAGGGTGATCGGGAGGAAGGATCCTACGTGCAAGCTAGGATTTAGTGAAGAGTTCCAGCAGAGAAGTGGTGGGTTCTGGCACTGTACAGAAAACAGGCAAGTCGGTTTTCAATACCAGCTCTCTAATGCTCTCTCGATGCATTCTCATCATAGATGCAGGGAAAAGAAAGAAGCTGGATAACATACCCATAGCACAAGCTGTGAACACCTCCGCTGCCCAGCCATAGCAATACCATCCTGCCAGCTCCTTTTTGCTTGTTGGACGAGAATCATCCCCAGGATACCTACCGTCTACTTGCTCATCCATCATCAACCAAGAGACGGTACATAGCCTCAGGAGGCAACAGGTTAGAGAAGTGAAGATGTCATTCAGCTGGAAAGTCAGCCTTATATACAGAGCCAAGGTCCAATCACATGATGTAGATAAAATAATTGAGAAAATGAAGCTAGAGACAGCTTCTAGTGTAGTTTACTATTAACAAGACTATATAGAATGTAATAATGATATTCAAATAACAGCTGTTTACCTAACTACGTAGTTAACTAACTAGTTAGCCGCGGTGCACTTATATAAATACAGAATGCCTGAGGCATCAGAGCAGTTTAGGGCTGGAGACCCTGGGATTCCTCTTCCGGACTAGCGCCCCGCATCAATATCAAACGACTCCCGCTCTTCTTTACTACTCAAATTATCATTGAATACCTGGTCGTTGAAGATGGCTTCCACCCTATGTTACAGCTGCAAATCCTCCCGCGCCCTCATAATCAGACCCAAGAACAGACACAAGCTTTGCAAACTGTGCTTCCTGGAACTTTTCGAACAGGAGATTCATGATACCATCGTCTCCAAAGCCCTTTTTTACCCCGGTGAAAGGGTTGCCATCGGCGCAAGTGGTGGCAAGGACAGCACGGTTCTTGCCTCTGTGCTCAAAACGCTGAATGAGCGCCACAACTATGGACTGCATCTCACACTGCTCTCCATTGACGAGGGAATCAAAGGATACCGAGATGACAGCTTGGAAACGGTCAAGCGCAACGCGGCGCAATATTCTATGCCATTAGAAATAGTGGGGTACGATGAATTGTATGGATGGACAATGGATCAAGTGGTTGCAGAGGTTGGGAAGAAGGGAAACTGCACGTACTGCGGGGTGTTTAGACGACAAGCGCTCGACCGTGGAGCCGCGAAGCTCGGAATTAAGCATGTCGTTACAGGACACAATGCGGATGATGTCGCTGAGACAGTGATGATGAATCTATTGCGCGGTGATCTTCCACGACTATCTCGGGCAACGAGCATCGTGACGGAGTCGTCGGCGAGTGACATCAAGCGGAGTAAGCCACTCAAATATGCCTACGAAAAGGAAATTGTTTTGTACGCCCATCATAAGAAATTGGATTATTTTAGTACGGAGTGTATCTATTCGCCGGAGGCGTTTAGAGGGAGTGCGAGGACGTTGATTAAAGATCTGGAGAAAGTGCGCCCAAGTTCTATACTGGATATCGTTCGAAGCGGAGAGGACATGGCAAGGCTCGTGCCTCCAGAAATAAGTAGTTCAGGCAAACATATTCCTCATACATCTGTTGCTGCGCTTGAGGGAGATGCAGAAGATTATTCTACCGGAGGCTGTGGAAGCCAAAATGGACCGCCGAATGGCAGAGAATTGGTGGATATAGAAAAGGATCTATCAGAAGATCAAACAACGGCCACTCATGAAATCCAGATTTTACCAACTAAAAAACCTCACGGTGTTAGAGGGCCCGGCCAAAAGCCGCTGAAATTACAAACCATGGGGCGTTGCGTACAGTGTGGGTATCTTGCTAGCCAGAGGATATGCAAAGCCTGCATGCTACTCGCGGGATTGAATAAGGGGCGGCCGAAGACTTCGATCGAAGTAGCCGTGGGGGAGAAAGCAGCACAACACTTGTGAGGTAGATGACATCCAAGTAACCAGCAGGAAGAATAATGTGGGAGAATTCGATATTTTCCCTCGCTTGAACGCTATTCCACCCAATAGTTAACAGGCCAACCACGAACTGACGACCTGACGGCTTCATTCTATTACGAGGGGTTTCATGCCGGGATATTTTTCTGTGTTTGCCTCAGGCAAGGAAACAGAATGTGATATTCGTCTCAGGAGGATTTCCCATCAAAGAATCCGCTTCTGGATTCTTTGAGCTTTCGCCAGATGGGTATATACCCAGTAGACTAGGGACAGGGAGGCAAATTTTCCTGAATGTTAACCGAGTCATCTATAAATTCTCGCAAATCCTCACATACAAACTTTATTCTATCTTCGAATTCATCAAGTATCGATGACCAATCAATCTCCTCGACTAAGTTACTCAACCTCGAGATCACTTTGGCTAGTGAACGAGCCCTCTTTTGCATGTAGCGAAACCATAATTGATCGGACGAAAAACTTTCTCGATATATTTTATACCATGAAGTTTTGATTTCAGATATACTCCACTACCGTTTTCTTTCACCCCAACTCCATCATATGTGGTATTTAAGTGGTGGGTCAAGTTGAATCAAAGTCTTCATTATTCATATAAAACATGTCGAAATGATAGACACATTTCTTCTCGTCAAGACTCAATGCTGGACATCAATTGGCAACATATGCATGTCTGCGCATAGGGTTCTCATAACTCACAATGTATGTGAAAAAACCTTTATGTAAATACTTTATAGTTAATGTCTATGAAACATGAGATACTCAGCCCTTCATTCTAGCTGCAACAACAACTACAAAGACACTTCATAATAATGAACTATAAACAGAGAAAAATTAAATATTATCTGAAAAATATGATTCAAAAACTCAAACTTAATGATCTTTATAATGTCAGGCCTATCCGCCTTCTTACGTAATCCGCACCGTATATAACTTCCGCGTAGCTAGCGATCGCTTCATAATCAATCAAGCAATCTATCCTTCACAGGTTATGAGACCCGTTTTGCGCAAATAACTGCCAATTCAGGGGAATTCTTGCCAAATATAGCGTATATTAATCGCTACTCGCTTCATTCAATATAATATTGTCTTATTTTATGTCAATTGATCGATTTGGTGCGCTCTTATATTATTTTTTTTCCGTGTTCAATCCGTTCGCTTAGCGGGTGAAAAAATCTGCAACTCGCTAATTTTTCAGCGACTGATCGCACAAGAACGTGCCAATCCGCTCAATCAAGCTTATAGGCAAGAATCTCGCCGAATAAGATTACTCCGTTATAAAGAAGATTAATACGACATGGCGGAACGTATGATGACTCGCTCGCGGTCGCGATCGAGCCAATCCAGCCAGTCTGACCGATCTGAAAATGACCAGGGGGGCCTGAGCTCACCGACCCCCCCAGGGGCATTCAAGAGTTCCAATATTGGACCCCCCGAAACGCCCAATCGGCAAGCCGGGCTGATTACAGCCCCTACCACGGTGAGGCCGGTCCGCCTACGTCGTGTCGAATATGCCGATCCGACTCCTTCAGAAGATGGGGTGGAGACGCCTGCGGTGACCCCTAACCTGCCGCCGGCAACTGACTCCGAAGAATTGCAACTGAGGAGATTGGATCTCGAACGTCAAAAGATTGATTTAGAACTTCAAAAAGAGAGGCGCAAAGAATTGCAGCTTCAACTTCAATTGGAGGGGCTCCGCGCTCAGAATGACAGGGCCGCGATGCCCGCAAATCCGCCGTCGGGTCGACCGTCAGCATGGGATCCGAACTTGAGGTCCCGAATGCAATATAACCTCTACGACCCAGATAGCCGCGTCGGCAAGGCGATCAGCCAGTTCAAACAGGACACTAAGTATGCCACCAAGCCGAACGCTCTGGTCGGATCTTCGAATTACCTCTCCTGGCATGCGAATATGAAGGCCAAGCTAATTGACGCTCAATGCTGGGTTATATTGGAGGACAAGCAAGTCAAAAGCCCTGATGGAGACCCCGAATGGGCTCCTTTTTGGGAGGCCAAAAATCGCTGGCTTTACGCATTCATTTCGAACGCGTTGGCAGCCAGCATTAGGCCCCGTTTTAATAAGTATGATGAGGGCAGGATCGCTTATTCCCTTTGGCACGCGGTTGAGGAGGAGTTCTCCATCCCGAGAACGCAGCTCTGCAGGGAAGCAGTCCTGGCATTTACATCAATGGGTGGTGTCCAAGTCACTGACGTACACACGTTTTTCGATAAGTTCAATGACGTTATTATGAAATTGGAAATACTCGATATTTTACTGCCAAATGACGTGGTATTCCACGTGTTCTATTCTGCACTTCCCAATATATGGCGAAACTACGTGCAAAAGAAAATCGAGGAGGTACAAGAGTCCAAATCGAAGTCTGTCGTGTTGGACGTTCATTCGATCATGGAGGAAATACGCTCTCGATTGAACCCCCCCAAAGAGGCAAAGAAGGCCGCCCAGGCGGCTAATTCTTCGGCCAACGTGGCTCAGGCTGAAAATGCGGCTGCGGGTTCCAATAACAGCAGCAACGTCCAAAATAATTCAGCCCGTGGGGGCCGACCCGGGGGACGCGGAGGCTATCGAATGGGCGGACGTTCAAATTTCGACCTCCCAATCTGCCCGGAATGCGAGCATCGTCATGGCGGGCTCTGCTGGGCAGCCAATCCGGATAGCGCCCCCGAAGAATGGAGGACCGCCAACGCGGCGAGAATAGGAAAATATAATAATAAGAAGAGTAGTGGGGGCAAAAAGGCCCCGCCAACTGCAAATGGCAGCTCCGAGACGTTCCAAATGGCGAATCTAGTGCAGGTCATTGGGGTGCCTGCGTACTCTGCTGAACCAATCGCCAACCCGCTCACCATATGGGATAGCGGGGCCGGATGTCATATTGCGTGTGATCGATCGCGATTTTCCCAAATAACAGAGGTTAGTGGCCCTACGATTCAAGTGGCCAATAAGGCTACTTTGAAGGTTCAAGGGATCGGGGTCGCCTCCATCCCAGTCGGGGAAAGATTAATCGAATTCGACCACGTCTATTTGGTGCCAGGCTTATCCGCCAACCTCATATCCGCTGGCCTATTGGAGCGCCAGGGCTATATTCGCCGTGATCTGCAGGTGGACGCCGGAAATTACTTTGAGATAATAGCACCTACAGGAAACGACATCTTCTACGCGAATTTGAATTCCAATAATATATATGTTCTATCCGACACCCCCCCTATGTTCGGGGGTATTATGAATGATCTGGAGCTTGGACCACTGGCATACTTGGCGGTCCCGAAGCCCAGGGCGATTTCAACGGATTATGATCCGAACGCTGCATCACTGGGTCTTTTCAACCGCGATGACGTGGAGCAGCTAATTAACCCGAAGGATCCGGATACCGATACCTTCATTTTGTCCCCACCAACCCGACTACCCGCCATTATGCCGAAGCAGCTACCGATTGACGAGTGGCACCGGCGATTGGGCCATATTGGCGAGGAGAATCTAATTAAAATGTCGCGGGAGCCCCGTTTCGGAATCGCCATCATCGGCCCGAAGAAGCTCTCGTTCTGCGCCACGTGCGTTAAAGCCAAGCATAAACGTGCAAGTTATAAAAACGCCCCGCTACGCCGTGCCACCCGCAAAGGTCTTAAGATCTGGGTGGACCTATTTGGGGGTGGAGAAACGCTTGGTAATGAAGAAGATACACCATCTTATTCAGGTAAGAAGCTCGCGATGGTGATCACTGATGATGCCACACGAATGCGGTGGACCTTCCTATTGGAGCGCCGCAATGAGGCTCTAAAATATATACGGACCTTCAACCAATTTATGAAGAATCTGCTCAATCGCGGTGTTGCGATTATCCACTCTGACCGCGGCGAGTTGAATTCAAACGCCGCAGCCGCCTATATGATGAGTGAGGGTATTAAATGGGAACCAACCCCGCCCCACACTCCGCAGCAAGATGGTGTGTCCGAACGTTCTATTGGCCTGATTATCGAAAAAGCCCGAACGTTATTAATAGATTCCTCCTCCCCCCCCCAGATGTGGGGCGAGGCGGTAATTGCGGCGACCGAAATGCTTAACCTTATGCCAACGTCAGCCAAGCTCTATAACGGTGTAGAGGATCCGGATCCGAAGCCGGTTACTCCATATGAAGCTTGGCTCGGGGCCCTGCCCTCCGCACGCGGGATTCGCCGATGGGGGTGCAAGGCTTATTTAAAAATAGTGCCCAAGCCGAATATGAAGATGGCCTCGCGATCGCAGGAGCTTATATTTACGGGCTATGATGGCTTTACTAATTATAGATTGGTCGATCCTTCTAACGGTCGCCTTTACACGTCGAAAGACGTGATATTTCAAGAAGATCTCCATTTGGCGGATCCTCTGGCCCCGCCTGAGCGAGGTGCCAAGAACCTGCCTTCCGCCGCCCGCGTGGCCGCGGTTGCGATCCCCTCCACCCAACGCGATTTATCAACAGACGATTTCATGGTGGACGGGGAGTTTCTATCTGCCCCTCCGGTATTTCTACACCCTACAAATAATTGGTGGATAGACTATGAGATTACTGCGCGTATTCCGACATTTTTGGTGCGGAACACTACTGCCCTCCCAGGGTCCGCTTTAGAGACGGAGGATCCTCCAATGCCCACTGAGAATATTACTTCAGTGGGGGAGGCCTCAGTGGGGGATTTCACCGACAATTCGACTGACGTCCCCGCAGACCCCGAGATCGCCGGTTTGCCAGTTCCGAAGAACCTCACCCGGGCTCGGGCGTCTGCAGATTGGAAATATTACTTCCATGCCTGCGTTAAGGAGATTAACCGCCTCAAGCAGATTGGTGCATGGCGGCTAGTTGAAAGGACCCCAGATATGGCGATTCTACGTGGCCAATGGGTGTTCGACAAAAAGATTAATAATGCGGGTAGAATCGACCGATATAAGGCCCGCTGGGTAGTCTGCGGCAATTATCAAGAAA